TTTTATTTCAAAATATTGAGGGGGTATAAATGTTTTTGGTTACATGGATCACTTTTGTAATGCTTGAGTCACGGCTGTAAGTGTGCCCATCACCCAAATAATGTTCAAATGGTAGGTTTTTGCCCCTCCCCTCCTCTGCCATCTCCCATCTGCTTGATTTCCACTGAGTTTTACTTCCCTCTGTGCACATGTGTACTCACTGGTTAGTTCCAGTTTAATAATGAGTACATGTGGTGCTTGTTTTTTTCAGTCTTGAGATATTTCACTTAGGAGGCTTTCAACCTGAAGAATGAGTACTCCAAAAGGTATATTAATCAAAGTGGTCTTCAGGGCCTTCTAGCAACTGACCCTGCAGTTGAACTCTGAGGTGGACCTTTGAGGGAAAAGACGTCCCACAAAAGCTGAATTATTGGGTGAAGACATGTTGAAAAATACTCTCACTGGAGATGTTAAATGGAGGTTTTCTAAAAAACTTCCAGAAGCAGATGACCTTCAGAAATAGAATGCTATTTCGAGATCCCCAGAACAAGCAGACTTTACATGAAGTAAATAGCTCCTGCCCAAGACTGATGGGATGAGATTTCGCTAGATGCCTGACATTACTGATTCTCATACTCTCCTTTGCATGCTCTTGTTCTTCATCATTTTGCCATATTATTCCATTTCCTATCTAAAGGTTATACAATTCTGATAGACCCTGTTATGTCTCCCTTACTGTTAATGACAACTTGCTTGGGCAGGCTTTGCTTACACCTACTGTGATCTCTTCTGCCAACCTTTCTAAGATCTGTGATTATTGCAATTAAGTTTTGCTCCGATTTCCTACTTTACACCCTCCTCAAGTCAATTTCAGTATTTCCCCTTGAGTTAAATACTGCCAGTTCATACCAGGGTCATGGAAGAGACAGCTAAAATGCATCTTTAAAGCTTATGTTTAGCTCGACAACTCTGCCCTCAAATCCCAGACAGGTCATCTTATTCTGTAATGGCTTCTCTGTCCAAAATAATCTTTTTCCCAAGAACTATTTTTCCCCAAAGTAGACAGGCCTACTCGAAATGAAGCAAAAGTCAAATTGGGAGGCAATGAGGCAAAATGGAAAAGATTATGGATTATATATTTAGACAAGTATTTCTCAACCTTTTTTTATCACCTCCAAAAAAAGCTAAATTACTTTTAAATAAAGAAAATTAATTAATTAAATATGATTTAAACTAGATTTAAATTCTCCTAATAAGAGAAATTAAATAGTAAGGAGTAAGATTATGTTGGGTAGGATTGAACTTTGGAGAACCACAAACTATTGTTATATCTAAGTTTTTTTAACCACTCAAAGACCAATTTTTGCCCCTTTGGGGTCAACATCACCCTGTGACAGTACACAAATTCAGAGAGATCTCGATTGAAATACTAATTTCACCACTACTGTGTGATCTTAGGAAATTATTTAACTGTTCCAAGACTCAATGCTTCCATCTCTAAAATGGGAATATTAAGCAGTACTTCCCTATAGGACTTCTAAAAGATTTCAATGTAGTACTGCATGTAATCCTTTTAGCAGTGACTGAAACACAAGAAGTAACCAATAAATAGAGCTTCTGCTGCTACTGTTGTTATCATTTTTATTATTGGGGAAGCTGAGACAGGAAGAAATGGCTTAGGGAAGTAATTAAGTGAGAAGACAACACAAAAATATAGAAGAGCCTTCAACGTGAAGTGATGGAATACCTGAATCAAACCACCACTGAGTTCACGTTAAACTTGACGGCATCTCTGTGAAGAGGCTGCTGTGTGGCCAGATTGGCAAATCAGAAGCTGCACTGAAACAGAGTGTTCACAACGTTCAGACAGTGCATGAACCCTAAGGCTCTCTGTTGTCTCACTGCTGGAAAAGGGCAGGTAGCCGTGGCCTGACAGCTGCTGGTGCCCAGGACACAGCTACTACTTTCACATATAAACCAGGAAATGGCACCACGACACTACTGCGCTGCCACGGAGCGAGGAGAGAACAATTCTAGATCCTCTTGGCTATTATCCATAAAAAGTGGTAAGAGAGGTTCTTTTTAAACCTCCCTCTTCCTACATAGAGAGAAAATGAATTCTATCCAATTTTTTTAAAATGGAAAATTACTCACCAAAGGAAACATCACCAAAGTGCAGAGCAGGAACATTAAAATGGAAGGTAGGTCCAATGACACAGCCCCTGGAAGAAGAATACAAGGTGGGGGAGTCAGGAGAGGTTCCAGCGAATTCAGGGTAATAATCAGGAATTGGGGTGAAGGTGAGGGCGGTTACTAAAACCCATAACTTGATATTAAATCAACTATAGCATCTAGGATTTAAAGAAGCTATGAGATGATGGTCTATCACACAGTTCTTAAAATTCTTTTTTAAGACTCAAACTGGGTTTTAGTAAATGATGCTGTGGTTAACTTATTATCTTATTTCCTACCTAAAGAAAACAGGAAAGAAGCTCATAAAATTGCAGAAAGCAGTCATTTAATCAGTGTGGAAGTTGAACCACATTTGTTCAAAGGTACATGTAACTGAGGGAACTGTGGCTAAATAATAACATCTGGACTTAGATATGGTCACATTAATTCTAACAGAGATTCTGAATATTAGGACAGCCTATGCCAAGGTTGTACCATACATCAATGCAGTGGTCTGTTAAAATTATAATTTTAAAGACTACGAGAGAGAATGATCAAATTCTTGTGATATGTTAAGTGAAACAAGTTGAATACAAAATATATCTATGCTATGGTTCAAACTTTATAAAATTACATATGCAAAAACAGGAGAGAATAAAACTTCTCATGGGTAATTTTAAAAATCACATTAATTTTACAGTGTTGTTTATCCAACCACTTAAAATATTGTATCATGTAAAAATAAAGGAGTAAATAGAAACAGTAAAGTATAATACAGTGATCTTTCAAGGCATACTAGCAAAAATCATGTGGTATTGAGAAAAGAGTACCTGGCAATAAAAGAGTAAGAAACAAAATTCCAGTACCCACAACATTAATTTTATAGACATTTTTTGGGCTCCAAGGCTGAAGAAAGTATTTCCGATAAAGTAATAAGCGAAGTCAGTGTTAATTTGAGGGTCTGGGAATAGACAATACATTCCACATGCATTTTCACCCGTTATGACCAGACATTTATTTGTGACACCAGATTTTTACCAGGTTTTCAAAATTACTGTTAGTGGTTTGGAGTGTGAGGACATTTTTGGATACACAAAACACTGAGCTTTAAAGGCAGTGAAGATGGGAAGGGAATTTAGATGGATCTATTTCTCTTAGCAATTGGTGATTAGTTAGGGGATAGAGCCCCATAAACATTGTTTCCATAGTCAGGTTTTCCTTCCCTTTCAAAGAAACCAGGAATGAACATCCAAAATAAGAAAGCGGCATAAGAATTCAGGCAAATGGTAATGTCCAGAAGATAGAATGAAAGGCTTAACCTCCATAGAGCAACAAGAGTACTAACCAGTCCAAGTTCACTTGTGAGCGGGTTCCTGGGAGATTCCTAAATCCTGTTATTAACAGTGGAAAACCCAAGTACTCCTTAACCTATTCAGACTTTGCTAGCGACATGCACTACTACTTTGGGATCTTTAGGAGAAGAGATTAAAGATTTTAAAAATTCACCCAGGAAACAGCAGAACTATTATTCAATATTATAGGATCCTAGAAATTTTTTTAAAATGACAGCTTCATTGAGACATGATTCATATACCATACAATTCACCCATTTAAAGTGTACAAATCAATGGTTCTGAATTTCCAGTAGATATCATGAGATCAATAAATTTTCCTAGGATCCTTTGGGTCATGTGTGTCTGTCTCTTTTCTCTGTTATCCCCAGCCCCCAAGGGAGACTTCAGCTTGTAAATGGAGGGACGTTTTGCTGGCAGTCACCATAATAGGAGAGACTACCACCGTAATTAATAACCTGTTGCTGTGGGAATCTAAACAGAGTCAGAGCAATGTGTTTACAATGCTTGGAGGCAGTGTAGGTGAGGTCATTTAAAGAATTTCCTTAAGATAAAAACAAAAGATGAAGGTTTAGAGAAACTGTGATAACAGCCAAAGCTTAGCCAAGAAGATGACTTTATTCAAGTGTTACTATAATAACTTAGTTTCTCTAAATATCCTAAAATAGAGAGTAACTAGAAATGAGTTTAATGTTTAAATCCTTCTTTTATAAGGTTATAACTTACACAGAAACTAGATCCCCAAATGGTATATTATAATAAGTTACGCATATTTACTAGGGAAACATTGGTAGAGATCTAACACACCCCTTTATGCTGATGTGTTCCTATCAACAGACACTTATGGACATCCAAGATATGAACTAGTTATGAAGTGCAAGAAAGCAGTAGGTAACAACTTGAGTTAGATTCTACATTAGGTATAAATATGCCTTACCTAATGGTCAATTTCACAGGCTCCGGTGCCCCATTGACATTGACCAGGAACTCTTCTTCAAAGTGCCCCAGGATGGCAGAACTGAAGGAGATCTGGACAGCTTGGACTCCACTTGGTTCGATGATGCCCTCCTTGGGACTGAAAACAAAGCAGGCCCCCAAAGGCGAAGTTGGAGGTATCACACAGAAAAGGGCGTCGATGCTGCCTTTGTTGTACAGTATTGCCTACGTCAATAAAGGCAAGAAGGAAAAGGTCAATGGACCTCTGACCTATTTTCATATAACCATGTGGCTATACTATTTAGCACAACACTAGAGAAAGTTGCTGGAATTGGAATCAAAGGAAAACTCTCAGGGACAAATGAACAGTCTGATGTTCTGAATGTTTGAAGATAGGACTTGCAAGCCAGAGAGTACTTTTATGTTTTTAGTCTCCTCTTTAAAATGAACTTAGTCATATGTATTACACTTGTGCTATAATGACTAACCATAATCATATCTACTTTAAAATGCCTTTTTTTGGTACTCTCTGTAAAGTAACCAAGGGAAGGGAAGGTATTTCTCTTATACATAGGAAAAGGCTGAGGTTAAAGCAGCATACTGAAAAATAAAAAGCAAGTCAGAATAAAGTAGCAAGAACTGCCTAATCCTATGCTTATAATGTAGCTTAAAGAATGTAAATGAGACATCATTGTGGATTCCAGTCGACAATGATCCTCTTTGTTGTGCTATTAGATTTCATCCTATTGGGATATTTTCAACTCAAATTCTATTAGATGGATGATTGTTTCGAAATTCTTGTGCAAGCAATTGCTGTACTATAGAAAAGTTGTATTCCTATGTTAGTGTTCTGGAACCACATTATTGCCTGTATTTGGTTGCACACGAGGTTCTGTGTGTGTATGTGAAGAGCTTGTGCCTGACATTCTGAGACCTCCACAGCAGGCCTCAGTCTAACGCTTCTGCCCTAACCTCCTACAATTCCTGTATGGGAATCTGCACTTCAGCCATACTGTTCTGTTCCTGGCATCCAAAGACACCACCTCAATTCCTTGCCAATGCTGTCCTTACACCTAGAATGGTGAAGAGCATGTTCTCTTGATTTTTACAGAAACTTGCCTCAACCCACCCTTAAGGCTTTGGAAGACAAAGAGCACGGGAGAGCACGAGGAAACTTTCAGAAAGTTGGCAGGAAAATGTGAGGCATATCAGGAACCTGGAAGCTGAGGGAGGAGGATTCCCAGAAGAGGTTATATGTGGACAGAGGTTGGGAGAATAAGCTCTGAGAAAAGGTTACCAATTTTTAATTTTGAATTAGAAGTCATCCCTGACCTTGAAGGAGAGAGTTATTCCAATAGGGTAGGATTACAGAATCCAGAGGACAAATGTTTAGGGTGAGTAGGTGCAGAGGAAACAGTGGTGGCTATTTTAGATTTCTGTTTTGAGAAGATTCATGGTGAAAAGTGAGAAGGGAGTGGCTAAACTGCGGGAAGGTATTTTAGAGGAAACTGAGTATATTTGTATTAAATGAGATAATGCATACTCAGTGCCTGACCTAGAGGAAGCACTCACCGAACTGATGCCTGTTGTAAGAGAATAGGGTTCAGTAACCAAGGGAATGGGGTCTGGTTGGATGTACAGGAGGATGAGTTCATGGGCTCAGGTTGCTTCTTGAAAAGCAGAGAAGACATCAAGAGCATATGCAGGAGAGAGTCAGCAGCCTCTGCAGAAGAAGACAGCCACTTCCACCAAGAGAAGACGGCCAATGCACCAAAATGGATATATAAGTAATAGCTGCTTGCTATTTTATTCATCTTTTATGTTTCTTTCCCATCTCCCTCGTTCTAAACTCACTGGTAGTAAGAATCATGATTTTCCCTTCATTCCTTTTAAAGACACCATGTAGAAAAGTGATTATGGCTATTGACTCTGGAGCCAAGCTGCCTGGGTTCAAATCCCAGCTTTGCCATTGACTTACTAGCTGTGTAACCTTGGACTACCTAGCTTCTCTGTGCTCCAGTTTCTCCATCTGTAAAGCGTAAGTCCTACTAGCTTCTCGTATTGAGGTAAGATTAAATCTATTAATTTATGTAACTTTTAGAACAGTGGCTGGCAAATACTGCTTATAAATGATAGTCACTGTTATTTCTATCCCCAGCCCGAGCAGAAAGGGTTTAAAATTTACCTGTGCTTAAGAAGCAACTAACATATACCAGCAGTAACTCAAAGCAAATTGAAGACATTAAGCGGTAACTTGAAGGACCCTGTTCTTCTCTTTGAAAAGATGCATGGATTGCCTTTTGTTTTTTTGGTTAACAGGAATGTTTTATCCAGACTTTCTGTATTGTGACAGTTCCTGCGTTTTTAAGAATATGCATGTCATTCTTCTCCCCCTGACAAAGAAGCACCTATTTGTGAATACGGAATCCAGCCAATAATTTGGGACATAATTCTGAGGCCTTTTGATTCCTGGTAATACTCTTACCCTTGTGGTCCAACACTTTGGAGAGGAGAAAATTGATAATAGAACTTCACCTCTCATTTGTTTTCCTTCTTAATTACACTGGGGAATAGTGTATACTCTCGGGGTTACAGTTTATTCTTTATGTATCTGCTAAGCTCAGCAATGACTAAGGGCAATAGCTAGTTATTCAAATTTGTCTCATGTAGGTAATGTAATAAATTGAAACCTGCAATGAAGCATCAGCATTAAATACGCAGAGAGTGCAAAATCTTCCCATAAGAAGCACCTTACACGTCCTTCTCTGCCACTGCGCAGCTCCCAAAAGTGTCTGATCTGATGCATCACCTCATTGAACACTTACTTAGCTGGCTGTGGTTTGCTTTACTATTAAAATCAGGGAGACTGGGAAGTGGTGGCTCAAAGTACACTTCTGTCAAATTCACACTCAGGGAAATCCTATCCATTTTGCATCAGAACTAAAGGTCCTTTTCTATAAGAACTAAAGGTCCTACATCTATAAGTCTGTAAGAAGTTCACACTGGATCAATTACAGACATAATATCAATTTAATAAGAACTATTGTACTTTTTTTTCTCTCCCTAAGCACTCTTTCTCTCAAATGCAATCCAGGGTAATGCAGAATATAGCTGTGCCACTTGTCATCTGATGACAGTCATGAGACTGATTTCTCCATTTATATTATGTTCCTGTGTATATTCCATCTCATCACGACATTAACATCTCTCTTTACCTTTCACATCATCCCATTTAGGTCATAGTTACCCTAGTGAACGTGGGAATGCAGGACACTGTCCCCATGCCAGGTTAGGCTGGGCTAAGAGCTGGGTTGGCTGGAGGCTGGATTTGCCCATGGTGAAAGGGTGCGATGCTGAGGGCCTGAAAGACTGAGAGGCCAGCAAAGGCCTTCTCTTCCCAGAGCAGGAGAAAGGGCGCTGGCAACCCAGTCCTCACTAACCTTACAAGCTGTATGACCTTGCCAAGTTCCTCAACTCCTCTGGCGGTCAGGTTTGCTGCTCCCTGAGCCCACTTCCTCTTTGTTTTGGACTTTATGTAAGCAACAAAAAAAATCTCTATAGTATTTGATATATATGTTTCTGTGTTTGTTTATTACAGTATCTAGTGTTACCTTAACTAGTAAAACTTGTCTAAGCCTCCGCTTACTCAGCTATAAAATAGGAATAGTAATTGTACCTACTCTGTAGGGTTTTGCAAGGACTAAACGAACTGACGGATGGCAAAGCACTAGCGCTGTGCTCAAAGCACGTTAAGGACAGTGCTGTTGATGGTACTAACCACTGCATGACTCACAGTTCTCATTTGTAACATAGGTATAACAAAACCTACCCTGCACAATTTTCTAAGGATCAGAAATTACACACACACAAACACATAGACAGGCACACACAATAAAGCATGGAACCTGACACGTATTTGTCACTCATTAAATAGCTGCTTTTCTTACCTCTATAAATATACAACCATATACAATTTAGGAAGCTTTCCAAAACAAAGTTTCAATGGCCATAGCTGTGAAATAGTGCAAAAACAAACCCCAGATACAATTTAGTGATGAGGTGACACTGACATAACATTGATCCTGAAGAACCCATGAATACATCTTGTAAAATTTCATTTTCTATTTCATTGGAAAGACAAAGCAAGAAGGTCTTTGCCAGAAATCATGATGATTGGGTTTTGAAACATGGATTGGAAACTAGTGCATTCAGAGAAAATTCTAAGTGTGAAGACAGCCATTCTCATTAGGACATTCTAGAAAATGTAAAAGGTGCTTTATCCTCTGATGTGTAGGATTTTTTGTTGTTGGAGAACAAGCACTAAACAGATGGGGAGATGTATTTATGGTTTTCCCCTTTGCAATCTACAAAATGATGGGGATAAAATGAATTAAACTACAGTGTTGATGCTTTTTAGCTTTTTAGTGAAGTTAGAGAGAGCTGATGAAGATGGAAAAAGTTGCTCCTCCCAACTTGGCCAGGAGGGAAGAGAAAGAGTCAGAACATTTTGAAGTCTAAATAAGGATGAGTAATGGCAAATGGATGTGATTGCACAAATTTTCTGCCAAATAAAAACATAAAATAAAACAAACAAAAAAAAGCCAAGTACTGTTTGCGATCTCAACGGACAATTCTAGCACTTACCTCATAACAATGTACAGATCCAATAAAAACTTTCCCAATATCGAGCAATTCAAAGTTGAAGTGAATCTTAGGTCCCATTCCCTCCCCTTTGATTCGGAGGGGCAGACGGATCTCTCGGCCTATAAAAACAATTCAGATTTTATTACCCTAAATGGTGCTTTATTGCCCCAAATTACCCACAACTTGTCACTACCGTAAACAATCAAGATTATTAAACAACTCACTGCACTGCACTGAGGGACTGGCAATTTAATCAATGCTCAAGATTTACCCTATGTGGGAGCTGATCACAATCCTGCAAGACACAATCCTGAACATTGAAATCCCCAAAGATGAAAACCCCCAAAATATAATTCTGGAAAAAATAATTAAAAAAAAATCTTTAAAAGATATTTATTTACCTTTGGAAAAGGGGATTTGAGAAACATGAAAACACAAAAGAACACTTCTTAGGCTACTTTCCACAATAAAATAGGCAATAATAAAATACATATTTTTGCAAGCATCAACACTCAGGTAAGCTAATGACAGTCACTTGGGTCTAACAGTTATGAGCAGACAAACCACAGTCACAAAGAAATAGGGCAAAAAGGGAATGTGTAAACGTGCACCACCATGGTTGGTAACCACAGGCACCCAGCTTTGTAATTCCAGTCATCTGAAATACTGTGACCAACAGCCGATGTCTTTTGACACGATCAACCGTGACAGGTCACCACCACATGTGCAGTAATCCAAAGAGCTGAGATCTCGAGAAATCGTGTTTTTCACAAATGCAAATGTACAAAAAGGACACCTGTTCATTTACTGAGGAAGTTTCAACATTTTTCTGTACATGCACAATGCTTGCACACAAAGTCAACATTGTGATAATGTGCTTTTGTGGAGTCAAATTTCTGATGTCCAGGGAACAGAAGAAAAGTCTGTCCTAGCTCTGGGGGGCAGAGAGAGAGAGAGTGAGATAGAGAGCGAGCCAGAGAGCGCATCTTGTGTTCTGTATTTGTTCTCCCTAGGCCTCTGGCCGGTTGGATGGTGCCCACCACATTGAGGGCAGACCTTCCCCCACTTAGTCCACTCAGACTCACACACTAATCTCCTCTCGGAACACCCTCACAGACACACCAAAAATAACATCTCACGAGGTTCCTAGGTATTCCTTAATCCAGTCAAGTTGACACCTAAATTTAAGTCCACAAGTCCACCCCTAGTCAACTTAGCACCCTTATGCATCTCCTTAATCCAGACTGCAACATTAAGGATTTTAATCTTTCAGGATTTGATTTTTATAATTTTAGACTTTATGGATTTAGACTTCAGGGATTTTGATCTTTCAGGATCTCAACATTTGGGATTATGACATTCAGGATTGTGTCTTTTGGAATTATGATCCAAACACATTTTATCTTTAGGAAATAGGAATACTGCTTGTTTTTTACCTTTAGGGAACAGAATATGTTGGAATTTAGACTTACATTTTAGCAGGAAAAAAAATTGAAAATTTTAACCCAATTCTTACTATTCTGAAGTTTCTTACAAAGAAAAGTAATTTCTCTAAATCAGAGAAGGGTGACCACTGATTGTTGCTTCTCACAAAATGAGAGCCACCATGGGGCTCGAAGGGACATTGTTCACATTGATCTTCCCTAAATTTAGGAAGATCCAGAGTATTAGGGATCTGAGTTTAGGGGTCTTACCTGACCCTTATTTTGCAGAGTTTCTTTTATACAGAGGTAATGAAATGCATTTAACAATACCCATTATAACACAACCACAACAGACCCAGGGGCAAGACAGAGCATATAACCTTTGAAGTACTGACTAATTTTGTTCCCCTTTCTAAAATAAAATATTTTTGTTTGATAATACCTGATTGTTATAAAAATTAAAGAGAAGGTGAAAATTCTCTCATAATTCCACCATCCAAAGATAACCACTGCAAACATTTTGGTGCCTATCCCTCCATATTTAATTATACCAAAATACTGTTAATGTAAGTGAGAGCATATACCACATCACTTTGTAAACTGCTTTTTTTCACTTAACAATATGCTTGGAACATTTTAACATTTCATTACCTACAGATCTACCTTCTCCTTCTTAATGGTTGCATGGTCAACTGCAGGGAGGTAAATATTTTTAAACCTCTTACTGGACATTTAAGTGGTTTCCAACTTTCCACTACAACAATTTACGGTGTAATTATTATCCTCAGTTATGTATCTGTGAATAATTTTCCTACATTTTATTCAAGCACTTTGAAGATATATCATTCTACTGTTTCTGTTGAGAAGACAGCTCATAGTGTTATTGCTCCTTTGAGATAGTATGTCTTGTCTTCTGAATTTTTTTATAAATCCATATTGATTGATTTTTGTCTTTGGTTTTCAGCAGTTTTATTACGATGTTCCCAGCTGTGGTTGCATTTATCCTTTTTGGGGGTTCATAGGACTTCTTGAATATGTGAATAAATATCTTTCATCAATTTTTGAAAATTTTTCAGTCATTATTTTTTCAAATACTGTTTCTGGTCTACTTTTCACTTCTCTCTTTAAAAAAAATATATGTATATACACATACACACACATACATACACACACTCATATATGTATATATATTTGTGTGTATATATCCTTTTTGCCAAATTCCATTAGACTCTTATGTTCTTTTTCTGTATTTTATCTCTACATGCTTCAGTATTTTCAGATATTTCTTTTGATTTCTCTGATTCTCAGTTCACACAATCTATCTCTGGCTATACCTAACAAGCTGTTAAATTCATCCACTGAGTTCTTAATTTGTTAATATAACTTTTCAGTTCTAGATTTTCCATTAGAATTTTTATAGTTTCCAGGCCTCTGCTTAATTTAGTCTGTTAAAAACATTTAAAAAAATCTATGTCTGATAATTCTATTTTCTGGTTCACTATGAATTTGCTTCTATTATTTATCTTGGTTTTCTATCAGATTGTCTTATCTCCTTACATGTCTGCTTACTTTTTGACTGAGTGCTGATTAGTATATATAAAAATTATAGAGATGATTTGAAGCCCTAAGAAGATATCTTTCTCCAGCTTCTGGCTGGTAACTAGTAGCATTAGCAATCCCAGGTAATCCAATATAACTATTCTCAACTAAGATTTTGTAAAAGAATTAAGCCCTGCAACAAATCATTTGAGTGATTAGTTTCTCAATTCTCTCAAGAAGGGTATGTAGCTAGTACCATCCCAGATATAAAAGAAAGAAGTTAATTTCTCATAAACAATAGGTGCCTTAGAACATTAGAGATTATCTTCTGGAACCTCAGTGGAGTATTGTCTCAATCAAATCATTATCTGAAAAATGATTCAAAGCTGAGCTTCAGTCTTTATGAGGGCTGGTCCATTTTCAGTCCCTGCTCCCACCCAAAAGTCTGGGGGATTACTGGGATCCTTCCTTCTTGGACATCCCAGGAACTTCTATGTTTTCTTCCCTAACTCTACCTAAGTTTTCAGCCTCTCTGCAGTTTCTACCAAAAAGGCAGCATCTTTAAGGATAAAGTGGTCCCCAAAGTCTGATGGTCTTGGTTTCCTTCTTCTCCTGGATCTTGGGTCCATAATTCTTCACTGTCCTAGTAACTCTCTTTTGCCTTCACCACAGATTTTTAAAAATATTTCACCTCATTTATCTAGTTGTTCTTAGTGAGAGAGTTAATCAAAATTACTTGGCCTATCATCACTAGATTTCCAAAACAAAGGGATGCACATTTGACATTTTGATAGCTATAGGTATATTGCCCTCCAGAATGGTTGTACTAATTGCACACAAACATCAACAGTATTTAAGTGTTCCTGTCTCTCCACATCTTCCCCAGCAGTGGGGATGTCACTACTTTTGAAAATTTTTGCTAGTTTGATGGTTTTCCTTAAATTTCAAGTTCTTTAAAGAAAAAGGATATATTTGCTCTGTATGTAACATTTTGAACATTCAAAATACTTTCGATGCTCTGTTAGATGGAATTTTCAGAATTACAGCAAACACACTTGGAACAACCAAGTGATATTTCTACTTTATTATCATCATTATAATGCCTTGTGACATTTTATGTTTCACTGTCTTCTGTCGCTATTTAGCTCTTTTCTCTTTAATGCTTTCTCCCCATGAATGTCCTTTTAAAGACAGGAATACTTGTCCTTTTGTTCCCTCTAGTTCTTGGCAAGGTAGTGGTCATTAGTTAGGCAAGTATTACTTTGATTATAAAGAGCAACCCTTGGGACAGCTGATTTATCCAAAGAGTCCCTCTATTCCCCGGAAAAGAAGTTCCTCTAAAGATTAGGTGTTATCGATGACAGTACTCTATAACATAAGTGAAACTTTCAGAGGGCCCAAACCTCGTCATCCTATTCTATTATTTTGGAGTTCTAATCTATTGGCAATAATGTGTACTCTTTGGTCAAGAGAAAAGTATTTTGATTGAGATCCAACTTTTGGAATGGCAAAGAAAGAGAACTGCAAATATACCATGGAATAAACTGCAGGACTATTTATAACTGTCAGGCCTAAAACTTTCTCCATCTGTTACCTTGACTGCCTTCCTTAAAAAAATGGAGACGTGTTGTAATAAAGCAGGGAGCCAATGTTCCTTTGGTAATTATTAATCACTTCAAAGGAATCTGTCTTATTTGTAACTGGCCACTTCCCTCACTCAGGATAGAATGTGAGTACAAGTAATATCCAGTGTTGCATTTCTAAGAGTTAGTCTAAATTTTAGAGTCATGTTATAAATGTTACTTTTCCATAAGATTTTCTAAGCAGATATTTTTCTTATCTTGGCAAAAGGCAGCAAGAGAGACAAGCATGAAGGATCTTAGTAAGCTCTAAGGACAGAATCCTACTGGAAGAGAAAAATATTAAAATGTTTTTTGAAATAAAGCAGTTTCTCATCTATGATTACAGTCTCCTGCTTTCATATATGAGAAGCAGAGAGAGAGAGATGGGCTACAGAACCCCTTAATGACCTTGAAATCCCTGAATGCAACAAACTTCATTGCCTTCATTACATACCAGAAAATGCAAACAATGGGCTTTCAAAATCTTGCTATCTGCTATGGTCTGAATGTTTGTTTCCTCCCCCTCAAATTCAT